GCGCTCGGCGGCAGTGATCGGCTGCAGCGGAGGGGGGAAGGAATGGGGGGGAGGGTGGAAACAGCAAACAGAGAATGAGGTCAACCTGCTACGCTGCTCACTGCAATCTCCCGGCCATATTCTTCGAGAGCCTCGCGAAGCCGATACCGTCCGTGATGAGACGCCGCGCCTCTGCTCTCCGCCCTAACTTCATGTGGACCTCTGCCAACCCCTGAACTTCTTTGGCGAGCGACGTTCACCAACACATCCCTGGGGTTGGCTGCTGGAAGTGGGGCCAGCTTTGAAAGTGGGGCCAGCTTTGAAAGTGGGGCCAGCTTTGAAAGTGCCCCCCACAGGTCAACCTCGCCATCGGTGCGTTTGCCCCAAAACCAAGAGGAAGAGATCGAGTCTTGGGATTGCTACCGTTCCTGGCCAAGCTCTGGGCGAAGACGCGCAGCTCGACAACGCTGCAATGGTCTTCCGAAGCGGACGAACATGGGGACGCAGCGGTCCGCGGGACCTCAGCTTTGCACGCCGCGTTGGTCCGAGGGCTCTTAGACGAGACAGCGCGGGAGCTTCGCATGTCGTCAGCGACCGTGTTATTGGACATAGAGAAATTCTACGACAGCCTAGACATCACAAAGTTATGTGCTGCTGCTTTCACACAAGGGTTCCTTGCCATGGATTTGCTTCTGGAGCTTCAGATATGTCTGGCGCCTGGGGTGTTGAAAGATCACAGTTGGGTGTCTCGCAGAATCCAGGCGCAGCGGGGCGTCGTGGCGGGCTCTCTCAACGGAGGTCGTATGGCAAAGGCGTTCTTGGGTCCGATCATGGAGAAGGCTCATCCGCAGTACGGCATGCAGATTCTTCTCATAACGTTTGTAGATGACACGGTAATCCGAGTAGAAGGTACGGCGAAGCAGACAACTATCACGACGATTGCAGCAGGCGCCACAGTATGTGAACAACTACAGCAAGCTGGGTTAGTTATCAGTGATAAGACGGCAGTGGTCGCTTCTGACAACGGGATTTCGAATGAAGTAACTGCTGGTTTACGACGACGAGGAGTTCCAGTCTCCTGCACTGGAGGCGGTGGATCTGGGCATGGACACCAGCGCAGGGCGCCGTCGTACTTGCAGCAAAGCTAACGAAGGAAGGAAGACAGCAGCCAAGCGAACATGGGCGATCAAGAGAATCAGAAGACATGTCAAGCTACGAGGCATTACGAGTGCTCTATGGACTGCGGGCTCACGACCACAGGGAACATACGCGCATCAGGCGTTTGGGGTGGCTGGACACGTTATGACAGAGCTGAGAAGACAAGCGGCACAGTGGGCAGTGGGTGCAGGACCTGGACGGTGCTTGACAACGTCGTTGGCGATGGTCTACGGCAACAAGGATCCAGCTAAGTCGTTGAGGTGCGAGCACATTCACATGTGGCTGAAGACGTGGCGCGAATACCCTGAACAGCATGCGCGTGTGGCTACGGCGTGGATCAGCATCCGCAGGCGGCTATTTCTGGCAGGGCCATGCAGATGGCGACTCGTGAAGGGCCCGGTTGGTGCTACGATTGCAACCTTGATGGACATGGGATGGCCCCCACATTCACCAATGCAATGGGATTCGGCAGCGGCAACATGGACGATTCCTTCGTGCGCAGACAGCGCGTTCGAACATTTCACAGCGACTTCGCGGACATCTTGAAATACATAGAGGACAACATCGATAGGCAACTATGGAGCATTGCCTCGAAGCATGAGAACGGCAGTGACCTGTGCGACGGTGCGGACACGTACCAGGTGACCAGGGAGCTACGCAGGCTCAATGATGATGACGGCGCCGACGACTGGGCGCTGAACGTGGTCGTCACGACTGGGGGCCAGTGGACTCGTGAGAGGTTGCATCAGGCGTGTTACAACATCCCTAGCCTTCTCTGCCCGAGGTGCCAACTGGCGCCTGAGAATTTGTTTCACCGTATTTGGGAATGCGAGGCCAACGTTGGCCATCCCGATTTTGCGAAACCTGATGCGTTGATTCCCCAGGCCAGAGCGAATCACGAGTGCTCGCCAAGTTTTTGGCTCCGAGGGATCCCTGGTCGGGCAGAGACGGCCCCGACCTTTTATGAGGGGCCTCCCTTGATGTTTCGATACGGGTCGATTCAGGACATCCCCAGAGACGCCGAAGGTTTCGCTACCGCGTTCGGGGGCGGTTCGGGTGGGACATTTTCTGGTGACCCTCGGCGTCGACGGGTGGGTTCTGGAGTAGTCGCGCTGGCCCCAGATGGCCAGGTCTGGAAGTCGGTCTGGGGTTTCGGTGTCACCCTCCCTGGGAAGCGCCAGAGTGTTCCTCGTGCGGAGATTACCGCCTTCGCGATTGCGGTCGAGGAAATCCCATCCCGACTGTGTTTCGTGACCGAACATCAGCCCTTGTTGAAGTCTTGGGCCAAAGGTCGTACGTTTGGTTTTGAGGCCCTGGAGAGGGGGTGTAATGCTAACCTTTGGGCCAGGATAGCCACGGCGCT